TATATATGATCATGGCGCTTGCAACAGTGCCGAAATATCGGAAACTCGCTAAAAACAAGGTACATGGTAACAATCCCGTAAATAACTTATATTACTATAATGTTAGTGATCATGAAAGTTTAAAACAATTATATGTAGATACTCAAAATCAAGTTTCTTGTACGAGTATGTCCCCCACATACAAGAAACGTGATTTTAAGTATCTGGCCGACCGACGTTGTTTCTTAAATCATTTTAATTATTTGTTGATAAAAGTGAAACGGTAATAGTCCTTCTAATATGTATTATTAATGTGAAAGTTTGTATGCTTGTGTGTTTGTACTTAGTTTGTTACTCAATCACGCACAAACCACTGAACGGATTTGGATGAAATTTGGTGCGCATATAGTTGAGAATGACCTGGATTGAGACATACGATAACTTTTATTCCGGAGAAATATTAAGTTCCTGTGGGATTCTCAAAAAATAAAGTTAACGCGGACGCAGTCGCGGGCGGTCGCTAATCTCTTATCTATTAGACAAGTCCGTCTGTCTGTGGTGCTGTTTCAGCGGTCAAACCGTAAGAGATAGATAAAGAGAATATTTAAGTTATAAGTTAAGAATAGTCTGATAAGACTACAAACCGGATTTGAGTAACGTAGCACTTCCGGTTTTCGAGAAATCAGGTTTTGGTGAACATTTGGTTCACTGGTTTGCTAGTCTATACTAATATTCTAAAGAGGAAAGATTTGATTTTTTGTTTGTATTGAATAGGCTCCGAAACTGCTGGAGTGATGTTAAAAATTATTTCATGTTTAGAATCCTACATTATCCCAGATGAACATAGGCTGAATATTCAAAAAGGTTAGTGCTCCGTATGAAAACTTCGATAACGTAATACAGGGTGTGAAATAAATACCAAAAAGTAACCTTATATCGCTTACGCTGCGGAATTCATTAACAATAGAGCAAAGTGATGTATAAAAATTTTAAAGAGGACATCAATATCTACAAAACATTATAGCTATTAACGGGATTGTTACCATGTACCTTGTTTTTTATGAGTCTCCGATATTTCGGCACTGTTGCAAGCGTGTCACTCCGTGATCATGGCGCTAAATATCGGAGACTCATAAAAAAAGGTACATGTTAAAATTCCCGTTAATAGCTATAATGTTAGTGACCATAAAAGTTTAAAACAACATATCTACAAAATAGTCCGCGATACCATATGTCTAACTATTACAGTTATGTTAAAACTAAAGGTACCCTGCGGTTTCACCCGCGTTAATTTGAGGAAAAGGGTTATAGTGAGCCAGACATAAAAGACGTATGCTGTCGCAAATTTTTTTATAGAACTTTTAAAGGGGAACAAATCCGCCATACATGTCTGAGATTCGGACAACATCTATTTTTCATCCTCCTAAATGTTAAGGGTAATCCACCCCTATTTTTTTTTTAATTTTAGATATTTTTTTATTTTTTAATTTTTTTATGATACATCATACAAAAGTAAATATAAACCAAAATTTTCGCCCTTCTACCACCAACCCCTATTTTTTTATGGCGGTACGAAGTTCGCTGGGACAGCTAGTAATTAAATAAAATCAGTACATCTAACACGTTGAAACTTATTTTATGAATTAATATTTTTCATACAGCCTAACGTAGAATTTAAAACGACGAAACATTTTAGATACCTATATTAATTAAGCGTTTCCAAGTTATATATACATAGTTGCGTTGCGATCATTAGCTGAAGCGGTTTGATTAACGACTCGACACTAAACAAAACTTGTCACCAGCCGCGACTTCTCGCAACTTGTGCAACCGCGTCAGCTCTTAGACTGCGACCCGTGTGATAGGCGGAGCGGGGAGAGAATGCCAGCGGTTCACGAGTAGACATTGTAGAATTATAACAACATAACACCAATGAAAAGTCTACCTAATGTCTATGATATACTGTCCTCCTCTAGAAGAAGGCCTATATAAACAAATCTCTTATCCTAGGCGAGGTATTCGTTATATATTTTTGACGTGACAACGTCTTAAATTAGGTTGCGGCTGGGAGTCACTTATGAAAAAGTGTAACGCTCGGTAACGTTACGATGAGTCTCTCGTGTTAAGTTTAAGTTTACATGTACAATGTTTTAGTAAACAAAATATATTTCTATAGTTAAAATTTGTGCAATTCTTATTTTCATTCAATTCCTTGTTCCTATTGTGCAATTTAATTATATTCATATCAATAAATATTCTACCGAGAAAAAGACGTTGTCACGTAAAATCTTCGCCCGTAAAACCGACTTTACAGGCAACCATTTTTTAGCATATAAATATATGCTAAATATATACTTATATATTTAGCATATATATGCTTAAAAAATATAATATATAAGTATATACTTAGTGAAATATCGAAAAGGGAAGTCAACTCTCAAGAAATAATTCTGACATTCCGAGTAGATCAATGAGGAGCTTGACGGCGCAGTGATTAGCGCTTTTGTTCCACGATCTTAGAAGTAAAACACCTTTTGCAATGATTGTTTTTTTGAGTGTTTATGCTTTTTAATGGTCGCAGATGACCTTTACAGCGTCACCGTTTTTTTGGACGGCGAGATCCTAAGGGGACCGCAAGCCGAGAATTGGCGAGTAGTGAGCCTGAGAGCCTCTATGGTTATTCCAGGCGAATGGCATATCCCCACGGGAGGATTTTTCTCTCTGTCTGGAGCCTCTAGACCACTGGAAACTGAGGGGGTCGGCTCAACTAGAGGGTGTTTCTGAGACTTGGATCTCAGCTCTAGTTAGCCGTTGTCGTGGGAGCAATGGCTGGTCCCTTGACCGAAAATGTTATTGAACTCATTGGTATTTCGCAAACACCCACCAATCAGCACTGAGACTGCAAAATGAGTCATGTTCTACCTATTCTGTCCATAGCTGAGGTCTGTACTCCAACATTAGGGATATCAATATAGGCTGCAATGATGATGATGATTCAAACCTATTCTTATTGTACACCGCTACCATCCACTCTCCGCTGCTATCACCAAGTGATCGCCCTTAGCCCGTTAATTACCGCCCACGTGAGAAGTTCACAGATAAATGGAGCGCAGATTGATGTCGAATGATGGCGACTGCCTTTGAAGACTCTTGACACCTCTTAAAGGCTAGCTTGAAGGGTGCTCGCTAATTATCCAATAATAATTAAATACAAGTAATGTAATAACTATTCGGGCAGAAAGAAGGTAAACATAAGTATCTGTGTTGCTTCAGACACATTTAAATTCAGACAGTATATAATTATGTTACCGGCCAAACCCAATTTTGGAACACACTAGGTTTTCCTAGGCCGAACTAGTTCATCCTTTAGGCGATAGGATAAACTGATATAAGCTTGGCTGAACTGATTAGACCTATGGCCTATAAGAGGAACTCGTTTAACCTAGGCTGAACTTAATGAAACCAATACGACTAAGTACATTTCAGGTTAAACTGTTTTGACCTAATCTATAAATAGGGTATAATAAACCCCAGAATTTAACGAAATCATTATGCATTTAATAATTAAATTGAAACCAATTACATTAGGTAAAAGCTATTAAATAGCTATTAAATAACACTCCTCATTTATATTAGGTAAAAACATCTTAATAAATAAGATTGAAAAAAAAAAATACTCATATTTTTTCATGGTGTACTCTGCGGGCATTTGATTTTTTTTCTTTCAGTTGCACCTGCTTGTCAAAAAGTTCTTTATGCAGCTGCACCTACCAAAACCCTGTCCTGACCCAACTTAACGTTTTTTGACTGCAGTCCTCAGAGACATTTCAATATCTTGCTTATCATCGTCCACCTCTAAAAATTTTTCACCTAAACATGTAGAAACTTCTCGTTAATTCGCATCTCGCTTAAATATTTGAAAAATTGGAATTGTCTGAGTCAAACCGTTTTATCCTGAAGTGTCCTTATTCATATAAGGCTCAACTAGTTTTGCCTTTCATTATTTGAATTCAGCCTAGGTTAAACTAGTATCTCCTATCAGCCATTGGACGAACCTATCGCCTAAAGGATGAATTGGTGTGACCTAGAAAAAACTACTTTGGCCCGAAAATCGGGTTTGGCCTGTAGCCACCTACAGAATTATAACAATTATTATTTTTATTCGCTCTCACTTTATGATAATTAATAAAACATAACAAACCCATACATAACCTAAGAACCAAATTAGCCACGTGATTTAAGTTGGATGCCATTATAAATATATTTCGTTTCGTATAGGTATATTTCCATCTATGTCCGAGTTACCTTGATGCAGGATTTCCGAAAAAAAAATTGTTGATTTGAATTCTTGTAGTTAAATCAAACGACGTGGGTCGTTTATGTTTTTTCAGAGTTCTTAAACTTAACCAGAAGCTATGGAAACTCCTTTTTGTATTTTTAAATTGATGATGAATGTTTGAGTAAATCCTACTGAAAACTAAAGTTTGAACTTTCAAGCCTTTTTTGAGTAACTTTAAGTAATTTTAGGAAGCTGAGTTATTTTTTTTATTAAAATAACATTCAAGACAATTATGTCACAAAAAAAAACTACAAAATACTTACTACGAAAAAAGATATGAATTTTTGAAACCTCGCTGGCAGAAATCATTAAAAATACACAAAATAAATTATAACTCGAAAACTAAGAAAAATCGCGGAACATACATGGGGTATTTTCGAAAACCCCCAGTTGCGAGGAATCTAAAAAAAATTGTTGACGTCACTAGTTGGACCATCCTGTATATAGAAATTCATTAATGTAAGTAATCAAAACTTTTAGGTAAGCGCGTATGCTTTAGTTGAAGTCTTGTAGATGATAACATTTGAATTAATGGTTGCTTTATCTGTTTCTAAATACAGAAAACTATAGCACTATGTAAGTATAGGCATAGCATAATAGTATTAAATTTTGTAATTAAAGTCACTTACATCAATAAGACATTTTTTCACAATGGATCAATACTAAAATAAAGAAAACTCACCTATGATAAATGCGAAGTATACGAGCGAGGAGGAGGTGCGCTTGCGCAGCGGGGCGGTGCGTAGACAGCGCGCGAGCCAATCAGCGCGCGGCATGGTGTCCCAGGGGGCAGAGGGGGGGTGGGGGTGGGGGTGAAGGTGCCGGGGGATAGTGGGGGGTCAGGTGCGAGAGAGGGGGCGCGCGCGAGACAGACAGGCGCGGGCCGGCGGCGCGACAACACCGCTCATCTCGACGGCTGATGCATCTGAAACAAACGAGGAAATATATTAAACACTCAGTTGACGCCAATGATGTAAAATAAAAAAAATGTTTTTTTTCCACAATTTTTTGTGAAAAAACCCAGGACTTGTTTTTTCTGAATTTAGTTTCACAAACTTTGTTAAATAACTGTTTTAAAAAGGGATTTATGTTATGTCTGATTTCACATATTATTATAATGCTTTTAAAAGTTAAACTTCTTCGAATGCACTCTGTAAACTGCGTGCATACTTCAAATAAACATACTTAATAATTTTAAATTCTGTAAAAAAATAAAACAAGTTTTTTTTTCAACTTTTTTTTCACTCCAAAAGTTTATTTTTTTGGCTTCTCTATTGACACTAAACTATATTATTACAGCAACATTAAGGCCTGGCTTGTAAATGCATGCAGTGCTAATCTGTAAAATTTTACAGAATAGCATTGTAAAAACAGCTTCAACCAGCGGTACTCAAACTGCGAGCCACTATCCCTTATGATCTGGCTCACTATACCGCCAGTCCGCCACGCCGCGTTGGGATTTTTCAATAACTTTTGTCAAATATATAATATTTTAATAAAAATATACAATAATGAATTAATTTGATAAAAAAAATTTGATAAAAAAAAATAGTTAAGTGAAATTGATTGTAGGGTATTCTTGTTTTGCTTAAATCAGGATTATTTTTGCTTCATGCACTTTTAATGTTATCATCGAGATGTTTGGAGCATATTGGTTTAATCCAGACGAAAACGATCAATCGAAAAGGAAAGGAAAGTGATGTGCATGTGAAGTCGAACTAGATTCCGGACTTTGTCAAGGTCTTAAATTTGTGCGGATTATTTTGTGTTTGTAATGCATCTATACCTGTATGCCAACCATACAACCGTAACTAAGTTAGCAGAAAGACGACAGGTGAATGATTAAAAAGTCCGGAATTCGTCTTTAACAGGTTTTTTTGCCAGGACTTTTCAAATTCCTAAATGGTAACCCTATGTGTATGACAATATACTAAACAATTTCTGAACTTACATTTAATACCAAATCTAATTACACGAGAATTATAATAATTATACAGCAAATCTAAACCAAAAATTATACGGCCAACAAACAGTAAACCAACAATTACAATGGTTTATCAGTGTGTCTGGAAGATTTACTACCGCCGGGAGGAGCGGGTGACTCGCCGCGCGCCGGGTCGGTCCCCCGCGCAGCGCGTCAACATACTCGTAGCCGGCGATAGGTCCCCACGCGCCGGCCGTTTTAGCGTCCCTCGTACTATGCCATGCGGCCGACCACCCCATTTAAACGATAATCAGGTGGAATTGTGTGGGTGAATACAATTTAAGTTTCAAGCCGCAGATGGCGTTGTGATTGTAAATTTTAATATGGATTTTATTCATCATTCATCCTATTTGTTTCTTAGGGTTTCACGCGCAGCACTCATTAAATAAAACGATTTTTACGGGTTATATGCATATCGATGCTGCTACTGGTCGTACCCTTATAAAAGCCTCGATAAATGCACTGTCCAATACAAAAGCATTTTTTCAAATCGGAACAGCAGATCAATGTTGTTTTCGGTACACAGGGTCCTAAACTACGCAACAATTTTTTGAAGTTATACTTCTTTAGCCACGTTATGAAAATATTATGAGAGTGAAATTTTAAGATGCGCGCGCATCACTGTAACACAGAAGTAACATAATGAAGTTAGCCGCGGGCGCGTTATGAAAAAATGATGAAAGTGAAATTTTAAGATGCGCGCGCATCACTGTAACACAATAGTAACACCATGAAGTTGGCCGCGGGCGCGTTATGAATGTTAGTGTCTAATAATGGTGGATTATTAACCACTTAGTGGTTAATAATCCACCATTATTATTGGTATCTGTTGCTACAAAAGGTACTTTGAACGATTGAACGAAAAATCGATCAATTAATCTCCAACTGGTCTAACTTAACTGCAGGGGTACCTCAGATAGGCGTGATCTCACCTCTTTCCTTTTCTTTATTTATAAACTCCCTTGCTTCCATTATTTCCACCTCTTATCATCTGTATGCTGACGACCTTCAATTGTATGCGCAGGACACCCTGCCCAACCTGGGGAGGGCAGTGTGTTTATTGAATGAAAACCTCTCTCGGATACGTGAGTGGTCTATTAGCTTTGGGATAACCATCAACCCTGTTAAATGTCAGGCGATTATTATTGGCAGTCCTCGACAAATTTCTCAGCTACATTTTAACACAGTTCCAGGTGTTACGTACAATGGTGTAGTCATCCCTTATTCTACGAACGTAAAAAACCTTGGGCTCATACTCGATCACACTCTTAGGTGTGGGATGGCCAAATGGAGAATATATGCCGCAAGGTAAATGGAACACTTGGTGCGCTTTATCGTCCAAAGAATTTTCTCCCACCGTGCACTAAAATCTCTCTTGTACAGTCCCTTGTTCATCCCCTCTTTGATTATGCTGATGCTTGTTTTACTGATATAAATCAACAATTTCTTGATAAGTTGGATCGTCTTCTCAATAACACTATTCGTTTCGTTTTTGGGTTACGTAAATACGACCACATTTCCGAGTTCCGCAAAAGACTTAAGTGGCTGCCTATTCGAGAGCGAAGGTATTTGAGGACAGCTTGCACCCTTTTCAACTTACTATACGATCCACGCACCCCTGGATATCTGAAATCGCGGTTTCAGTTTCTGGGGTCTTCCCATCAATTAAATCTCCGCTCAAATGATAACTTGATACTTGAAGTACCGATTCACCATACTAGGTTTGTCTCCAGTTCATTCACCCTTACTGCCATTCGGCTTTGGAATGCACTTCCTCTAGACGTTCGAAATGCTCCAAACAGGACGGTGTTTAAGAGATCGGTGCGGGAACATTATTTGAATTTGTTGCATAGTGCTTAAGTTGAATCGGGATGGTAAAATCGGACACTATATTATAGGTATATTATGTATTATGTGTGTGTATGTATGTATATTTATGTTTCTATGTATGTATATGTGTATGTATTAAACGCTATTTAATTTTGTTTTTCATTGTTTGATGTTTGCTCTTTCCTATGATTGTCTGCCGTTTAATTGACTCTGCACGTTCTTTCCGGTTGACTGGTAGAGAATGCCATGCTGGCATTAAGTCCGCCATATGCAATGTAAAGGCATTAAAGATTAAATAAAAAATAAAAATAAATAAACGATCCACGGAGCTCCTTAAGCTGATCGCGTTGTCAAAAACAATGTTGGCACGCTCGTCGCCTCTGATCACTGTTTTCATATTTATAATATTTATCCACATGTTTCTAGTTTCTATATAGACACAACGTGTTTTAGTTACTTACAAGTGCTAATTACATATGGACTAATAACTTAAATTCAGTAGTGATTTTAATTGAATATTTTGAATATTTATTTAATTTTTCAAAATAAAACTGAACTTAATTGACTGTGTTAACTATCCTTTTCCAGTCCTTTTATTATTTTATTGTAATTATTAATTATTTGCATGCAATTAAAAAATATTTTTAATGATGCTAAAGAATCTAAAGAAAATATAACTAGAAAAAATTCCACGCGGACCAGGCAGCAAACGTTGTGGGTTTACCTATAATGCGAAGAGATGGCGCTGCCCTGCAGCTTAAGAATAGCTAGAAAGAATTTCGACGCGGTCCGTGAGGGCCGCGGTAGCATAATTGGTCAGTGCATTCGCCCGGATTGCGAAGGGTGCGGGTTCGAGTCCCGTCTGCTGCCTGGTCCGCGTGGAATTTTTTCTAGTTATATTTTCTTTAGATTTAAACATCAAGCAGTTACATGCTTTAAAAATAATAAAAATTATAATGCTAAGGAAGTATAACTTCTCACGCGCGTACATAAGTTACACGCATCCATTTTTTTATTTTTTACTTGAAATAGAAGGTTTATAATTATTATGAAGAAAGTCATTGTGTATAATATAAGCATTTGAACAATAACTATAGTCTACATTACAGCTCTACACCGAAGCAAAGCGAGGGCGGGCCACTAGTCTATATGACTGACTGACATAGTGATCTATCAACGCACAGCTCAAACCACTGGACGGATCGGACTGAAATTTGGCATGCAGGTAGATGTTATGACGTAGGCATCCGCTAAGAAAGGATTTTGATCGATTCTCCCCCCAAGGGGATAAAATAGGGAATGAAAGTTTATATGAAACTTTGTCAATATTAAATCGATCGGGCTGAGACTTTGCATGCAGGTATAAGAAGAATCATAGATGAATGTCATTATGTATAATACAAGCCTGAGAACAAAAACTGTAGTCTACACTTCAGCTCTACACCGAAGCGAAGCGAGGGCGGGCCGCTAGTCTATTATAAAAACAAGAACACACAACAAAAGCTTTTCGAATTTAATTAAAGAAACAAAACAACATCGCAGCCATTCATTAAACGAGATACTAGAAGGAGTCGGTAATAGAATTCGTTTTGTTCGGACACCAATATTCCGTACGTAAGACAGGCAGACGGGAGGCCAACTGTAATTTCGTTAACCATTTAGTCGGGAATGCGCGCTGCACTAATTTCTAACGTCAGTATTGGGGTTATGTATTGCACATACATACATACATATATTCCTCCTGGCTAACTCAGTTTGACAAAGAGATATACACAACACGACTAACCCCGTTTGCCCCCTTCTCCGAACCAACAAAGAACTAACACTGTTTATGATTCCACTGTACGACATTTTCTTGAGCTGGGGCGCTATATAAGGCAGTCGCCACATTGATAAAGGTGGTAAACGTGACATGTACAAGCAAATCATGAGAGACAAATATATTTTTGGAAACCAAATCTTACAGAGATCATCGCAAAACATTGTCAACAAGAATGGATGACGTTTGATGCAAAACAAAATAGACGCGCCTGCCTACAAAATTTGTGACATTTGAATGTTAACAAGAACTTACATAATATGTTCAACTAGCGGCCCACCCTCGCTTCGCT